TATTTACTTTTTCTTTTTGTTTTTAGTTTGATTAAAAATTTTTGGCTTTTTTCTTTCTTTTCATTCTATTCATTCTATTCATTCTTTTTTTTTTTTTTTTTTTTTTTTACCCTTACGTAATTTTTTTTATTCCTTACCTTCAAGTTTTGAGAATTTTTTTCAAGAATTTTTGTATAACATTCTCAGGTACATCCGTTACACATTTTTTCCATGTGGTATTATGCACATAAATAATTTTGATTGGTCAAAAAAGGAACAAGGAAATATAACATATAATTATTCGGTAATACGTACTATAAATGTATGCCCTAAATGAAATTTCTAGTAAATAAACCAATCAAATGTTCTGTTGATCATCTAACGTCATTTCTTTGTTAGGGATCATAAAAAAAAAAGTGTATATGTCATGTATATTTGTTTGTTGAATCATATATACCGATACGATTTTAGATATATCGATAATGATAATCTGTTGTTACCAGGTTAAAATCCCCTATATGTCTTCTTTTAGCGTTTAATTGATTGAGATTTTTTTATTTATTGTTATTGATTTGGAAAAAATAGATTATTATACATGGTATAAAATCAAATTTATTTATGATATTTATGATATAAAATCAAATTTATTTATATGATATTTATGATATAAAATCAAATTTATTTATGATATAAAATTAAATTTATTTATTTTTGTTTGTAACAAATAACAAGCGTCATAAGTGTATCTTATCGGTTACTTATCTGCTACTTACGTGTTTTTTCTTGCTAGAACTGTAAATATTTTAATTATTTTAATTATTTTCAATTCTATTCGGCATAATTTCTATATTCAATTCTATTCGGCATAATTTCTATATTCAAAAGCACGTATGATTATCTATGCATAACCAATAAAAATCTGGCATACACGTACATTAATTATACGTAGTATATTTTTTTACTAAATTTATACGTATTTTTCTAGAAGTGATTTAAAATTGATTTATGATTTTTTTTTTTCTTGTCTGCCTATTTACTATTTACCCTTTATTTTATTACATCATTTTAAGTGGAATTACCATATACCCTTTTTTTTATTACGTCAAAATGTAAATATGAAATGTAAGAATTAATAATTATAGTTGTATAATGCTAGATTTTGTTAGATTTTTCTATAATATGACAGGACATAGCATATATTTATATGCTATGTCTTGTGTCAATATATGCTATGTCTTTCCATATATGATGCCTTTCCATATATGCTATAGCATCTGTGTACGTACACGTTTATCAGCTGTAACGGGAAATTAAGACTCCGTTATCAAGAGATAAGGGATCATGTGTCTTAAGTTCTTAAGTATAATCGGTACGTATCAATTTAATAAAGTGAATTGACCAATGTAAAGACCCAAAATTAGACATTGCCTTAACACACTACATAAATCCAAGTAGGAAAATTAAAAATTATGCTTGTCGGTTTGGCCCGAATCAATACATATATACATTTACTAAATGTTTAAGGATATACAGTGGATTACGAAAATCTTGACGTGAAAGCCTTTGGAATGTTGTGTAAATGTATACAAATAAAATCATCACTAGCGAAAACATGATATCATAAGTATAATTAGTTTCGTTTGCATGCTATTAGCTTTTGTTTCATGTAACGAATAACAAATATAAATAAAATTTTCAAGAACAAAAAAAACACGAACAAAGACTCCTTCTAAAAACAAAAAAATCAATAAGACGTGACGTTACGCATCATTATATTTATTGGCTATCATATGATAACAATTTATGATTAGAATTATTAGAATGTTTAAGAATTTGAATTTGACACTCAGAATTTACTATTTAGAATTAGTGTTGTTTGAATGAATTAATTAATTAATAGAAGTAATTAATGGAACTAATTAATGGAACTAATTAATAGAACTAATTAATAGAACGAATTAGTATAGAATTAATATAGAATTAATATATAATTAATAAGTTTATTTTATTTTTTTTATTATTCTAACACACACGCACACAATATATAATTCGCAAAAATGTAGTTTAATTGGCTATTATTTTCCATGCGACACATCTTCTCTCTTAAAGAGGTAATTTTGAATTAAAATAAACTATCCATGTCGAACTATATAGTTATAAACTACATATGCAAGTCAGTAGGGTTCATTATCACATATGTTGTCATCTTGAATAGCGTATTTTGTGGCGCAGCCTATTACCCGTATTCTGTTTCCTAATAAATTAAACAAAAGGTTTTGTTTTTCGCACGAAGGTTTTTTTTTTTTTTTATAAACTTTCTCTTGAAATGTACTATTAAAATAAAAAATAAAAATAATATACAACGTACATGTACAAATAAAAATTTAAATATGTACGGTATTTTAAAAAATTTTTTTTACATTACCACATATAATTGCAGATCATGTTATATCACTGCTCTCAATTTTATCACAATTTTGCAGATCTGTGAAATTAGTATTCCTATAAATTCAAGTCAAAAACGCCCGCTTTTTTTTTCAGCAAGTTCAAAAAAAAAAAAAATTTAAGGAATTTGAAGAAATTGAACAATTTAATCAAGAAGATGATTTATCAACAATTTCAAGATTCGCAATTCTCTGAACAAATCTTAATGAACCATCATCCCAAACCAACTCTTCTCTATTGTACTCCTCCTCATTCTCCATTACCGATGTCCAGCAATTTAGGTAACCCAAACCGTTCGTGTGTGTCTTGTAAAAAAAGAAAAGTTAAATGTGATAGAAAGACTCCATCATGTGCAGCGTGTGTGAAATCCAAACATCGATGTTATTACACATCTTATTCGCCTCCAGAAGATACGCTAGCAACAGTTCCTGAAGATGAAGCAATCAAAGCCATACGACAACAACACTGGATCCAAACTCAAAGAATGAATTCTCAACCTACTGTTGTAAAGGTAAAAAAAAAGATTTTTAAATTCAAAATCACAAACCGGCAACTATGTACTTACCTTTTTTAATCTCATAATAGAATGAATATGATTTGGGATCTACCAATGGATCTTTTCTTAACGATGGCTCCTTCCTTGGTTTAAATGTCGAAAGTCCCACTGTACCTATTGCTTTGGTCTCTGGCACTCAATACGTTCCTACACGATTTCAAACTCCACAACTAGCTCAAATCCCTCCTACTTCTCCAAATTCGGTACAACAATCTTATATGGTACCGCAGCAACGTCAACAAATTTCTACTCAATCGTCTCCTCTTATTAATCAAAATACCCTTACTTCATTTTTGCAGCCAGCTTCTCCAGGTTTGTATTTTAAAACATTATTCTACATTATTAATCTTTACGGGAAAACTTGAGCTCATATTTACTTATTTATTATTATTATTATTAGTTTCGATAAATAATTATGTTCCAAATATGCGCGGTACCATCACATTGAACTATAATATGAATAGTTTAACACAAATCATGGATCCTCAACTTATCCCTATTCTCCAAAGCGTAACAAAAGGAGCAGGTCCTATGATACCACCAAGTGGTTTCGCAACCGTGACTCAATTACAATTATGGATTTATGAAAAGATTATAGCTTTAAGTCAAGAATGGAGAGGAGAAGCTGATCAATCTTACGTTTTAGATCCAGATGAAAGATTAAAATTACGAATGGTTGATTATGAACAACAAGGACAATTTTATGTTGCACAACAACAATTCGATGTTGAAATTGAATGTTCAGAATATACTTCTGTTAATACTGGTGATTTTAAACCTTATAATGATTTAAATCAATATGACGATGACGATCGACATAGTGGCAATAGTAATCCAAGCAGTATCGATATAGATCCAATGGATACTTTTCTTCATAAAATTTATGCTTTCGTTCGTAAATTTATGAGAGATGTTCCTTGGTTACGTGATAATTTCATGTTAAATTTTAGAAGAACTCCATCAATTGCGATGGATTATGATATTACTTGCGATGGTGTATTATCTGATGTTGCAGTTGAAATTCGAAGAAATCAACCATCTTTATTTTATCCTCAACAACAAAATCGACAACAATTATTTTCGGTACAAAACGATATTTATGAATCACAGAACGATATAGTTAAAGGACGATTATTTTTATAAAATGGTTGAAAAATAATGAAACAAAAAAAAAAAACAACAAAAACAAAAAAAATTTTTTTGGAATTAAATATGGGATAAACCGGGATAATGAATAGTAACAAGTATACTGAAATACTGAATATAGTAGGTTCTCTTTATTATTTATACGAAACTATTTCATTAGTCGTGAATATAAGTTAAGTAGGCGCTAGATCATAACTCGGATTTTTGATCTTGCGTTAAAAATTCTTGTATAATAATTTTTATACTCGAATATGAACATTTAATAGTAAAGAAATTTTACAATAATATACAGTAACCTAAGACGATACACCCCTTCTGTCCCAAATTCCCTTTTAAAAGACAATATAGAAAGAAAAAACAATAGTATTATAATTATCGATACTCATCTCGACCTCGACGGGATATTAATTGAGATATTTAGTAATATAATAAATTCACTAGACAATTAATATAGAAGGGGGAATAATTTCGGTTATGGACATTTTTTTTTTTTTTTAACGAACAAACGTATTATTTATTCAACATAAACTAGAATAACTATTATCATTATTATTATCATTTTTATATTTTTCTTTGAAAATATTATATTTATTTTTTGCATTATTTTTAGAATTATAATTTTCTTTTTAACGAAACAAAATTAAACCCCCATAGATTTTTTTTTTTTTTTCCGATTACTTCGTCTCGAACAACATTTCAAAATATAGAAAAAATGGCATAGTGTAAATATAGGCAAATAATTTTGATCTTCACTTCATTTTCTGGATTAAAATCATGTATATAATTAAACAATAACAAAATCAAATTTTAACTGGCATAACGGAATTTTTTTTAAGACTTATAATAGAAAATATACATGCGTAAGGAAACATCGTAACAATTTTTTTTTTTTTCTCTCGGTTTCATAGTGGTGGAAAAAGAAAATTCATCGTTTTTTTATACTATCATTACTATTATATACTATTATTATTATTTGAAAAATAGATTTAAAGAGATTTTTTTTTATATATATCATTTCATTTACGTATGGTAACAGAAATCAAACAATCACAACATTTGTTATGTATTTTTTTCATTTTTTTTTTTTCTTTAGACTTAAGACTTTTTAAGATATGAAATAAATAAATAAATAAAAACCTTTATGCTAGATAAAAATGCATATTCTGTTATTATTCGATATTATATATGTTTATTAACTGTGTTAATATTGTTAATATAAATATAAATTTTAATTTTCGACATTTATCTTATACGTATAAATATTATTAAAATTAATTTTCGACATTTATCTTAAATAATTATTAATTTTCTTTTTTTTTTGACTCAAAACACAGCATTACGTAGCAGAAATAAATATATATGCAGCCAAGACTTTCGAATTTTTATTTACCAAATTCAACCTTCAGGTATGTACCTGAAGGTAGGTAGGTACAGTACGTAGGCACACCTGAAAATGTGTCATTTACAGTAATTACTGTAAACTGCCGTATAAAGGACCCCCACCACGCATGGTATATACTGTAAACCTAATTACTATCTCTATCATATATATCGCTGATCAAATTTTTTCAATGAATAAAAATTTGAAAGTTCAAGTTTTATTTCCCTTGGCGATACTTATATATGCGTAATTGTTACCCCAAGTGTTCATAGGTTCTGTTTTTCTCTTGGCGATACTCATATATGCGTATTGTCATTCCAAATTTGTTTTCTTTTGGTGATACTCATACGTATATGCGTATTTGTCGTCCCGAGTTTTCATAGTTTTTATTTTTCCTTGGCGATACTGTACTCATATACAATAAAAACATATATATGTACGTATATGCGTATTTGTCGTCCCGAGTTTTCATAATTTTTATTTTTCCTTGGCGATACTGTACTCATATATGCCATCAAAAATATAAATACGGGAAAAACCTTGTAATCATACGAAATTTTATATATCTGATTGGCGATATATAAACATTCATAAACATTCATACAAAAGGGTTTTAACATTTTAGACCCTAAATGGGTAGACCCTAAATGGGATCATTGAGAATTAATACTATATACTATACTAGTATTGTACTATCAACTAATCAACCTTTTGAATTTACGTAAAAAAATTAGCCTCGGAGAAATTTCAATGCAACTTCAGTACATTCAATGCAGAAAATCCGGTTTACATTGATGAATGATTGGATCGATTAATATATATTACCGGTAAATTCGAGGGAAAATTCTCCGATTCTTGTATGAATTCCCGAATTTAGTACACAGTTATTATTTGTCCCCAAATTAGTATTAAAAAAGTGTCTTGTCTTGAACAGTGAACTAGGATGATGATCTGATCAATTGCATATTAATCTATCCTTTTCTAATATCGACTCTATTAATAAATTCCAATCATGTAAGTCTTGCACTATCTCTGCATAATTTAGCCATATTCTTTTGAAGATCTTTAATCATTCGACAAAATCTCCTGGTATAAAAATCGTATGATATTCGTACATAATAAAATAGTGTATTATCACAATTATTTATAATCATTGAACATATACTTTCAGGTAAAAAAAAAAAAAACGCCATCCCACATGATTTACGGAATTCGTAAATATAAAAGGCACAAATAGAACCATGGAATTTCTTTAAAGTTTTTCTAGGATACTTTTTTTGTCGTACCGTATCAAATTTTCCATTCAATCGGAAAAGAATGAATTAATTTCATCCAGGAAAGTAAACCTCCGATTGTCAAATGACAATTCGCAAAAATAATGTCACCTTTGTCACCGTTTGTCATACGATTAATAATCATTTCCAAATGCTGCTTAATTAGGTAATTTTTTGACATATAATGAGGTAAAGCAAATAAATATTCATTTTCAGATTGTGTTACGCCACACATTCTAAACACAAAAGATCTGATAATGATGAGATGAAGTTGTCACAGTAACACAATTTACTCATTTATCTATTGTGTATGCTAAGCCTCCTTAAGCAATTCTACATAGTCCTATTTTTAGGTACGTATTTACATATTTACTGTATCTGTATCGCCCGTAGTTTTTTAGTTTCTATATTTCTATATTGATATGGTTTCATTCATGTTTTTTTTTATACAACCAAAAGTTTTATACATTTCGGCGAAGCAATGGGTTTGTGAATACATTACAGCATTATCACACAAAGAAATATTTTTAATATTTCTGAAATGCTTTCTTTCATTCCAACAATTTGATTTACAATCCCTAAAAATTAAAAAAAAAACTTTTCTGACCCATTAATTGCAATGAAAATATGAATGCCACACTTTTTGAATTTTCTGAATTTGGTAAAATAAAATAAGGTTAGTACTATTCCGTTCCTGGATTTTATTTAGAAAGGTTTAGTGATGTAATTTATCGATTGACCTTTCGTACTTACGTGCATACATACATTACCTACATTACCTATATTGTCATTCGGCCTAGCATTAACTATCATCCTTAATAATAAAATAAATGCTTAAGCAACCGATTAATTCAAAAAGAATATCATACTGGCCTTTTCATCAATAGTTATTTACTAAAATAATTAAATAAAATATATCGATGACGTTACTATCGCTATTTTTAATTAATTAAGTCCATCAATTACCCTTTGATCATTTTGATCATCTTGTAATCATTCCATAATCAATTGCAATGATCACCACTTAAAGTAATCCCTGGATTATTGAAGGCTTTACCACTCAAACTTCCTATTTAAGCGGGGGAAGACCATCATTGCTGCAGTGTTAGTTATTATTAGTAATTTTTATATTCGGGAATGATGTATATTTTTGTATTAAATATTAAATTACATAATATATATTTACCTGCTGAATTCCTTACAAAAATACATATTTCATCATAAAACCTAATCATTAAAGGCAGTGACATATCCATTACCTAATATTATTTATTATCGTTATAAGCGCCCATACAAATCGATTTTTTTTGTGTTAT